TTGATCTCCTGGTAGTAGTTTTTTTTATTTTGACACGGTTGCTTCAGCTCTTACGTTTTTTTTTTTGGTGGGATTTTTTGAGGAAGGATTTTGTCTACCAACCGGATACTTTTAATATGAGTATTGCCAAGATCCACAAAGACACTGGGTAAGGGAGGTTTTTCTTTCGACCCCCCCCCCCCTTTTGTTTTTCGTTTTCTAAAGGGTGCCTTTATGAAGATATGAGGGGGGGGGGGGGGGCGCGGCCTTTCGGGTGCAGTGGGCAGAAGAGACGCCTGCCGTGTGCCGTATAGCCATGGTCTGCAGGGGGCACCGGGTGAGCAGGCACGGAGGGTGTGATCTGGCCCCGTTCTGGCCTGCCCTGTCCGACCCTGCGGTCGCGGTTGGTCCGGCCGGCCGTGGCTCCGACGGGCAGAGGCTGGGGTGAGCGCAAGAATTGGGGGTGGACGGCAACGGCAGACAGTTTGTGAGTGTGAGTTTGTGTGTGTGTGTGTGTGTGTGTGTGTGGGAACAGCAGAGAGAAAGGGCTTTCTCTCCCGGGCTCTGCTGTCTTTCCCCCTCCTCTCTATCTCTTTCCCTTTCTCTTCCTACTCCCTGTGCATCTCGACGCTTCTGCTTTATAGTCACCGTCACTGCTGGCAGCCTGCCAACTCTACCTCGATTTAGTCAGCATTGTGCAGCCATTCCGTATATCATCCCGTATACATTGTTGTCTTCTCTATAGACGGATCTTCAATATCTACCGTCAATTCTGTCTGACAAATCCGCTTCTCTGTTGAGATCCCCAATGCCATCCAAAATCCCCTCCAACTATCCGTCTGACACAGAGGCCATGGAGACCGAGTCTGGATATGTCAGTGGCAGCGCCAGCGTCCACAGCATCCCGGAGCTCCTCTTCACCAAACCACACCTGAAATTCCTCAACAGACAGCTCCAATTCCTAGAGCCGCAAGGTACGCACCCGTTGTTCAAACATCACCACTTGTCCCCCATCCCGTGAAACTCACATCAGCCCACCCACCCCAACAGACATCCTCCGATGGTGCATCACCACATTACCGGGCCTTTACCAGACCACCGGCTTCGGCCTGACCGGCCTAGCCACGCTCGACATGCTCTCCAAACTCCAGGTCCCCCGACCCCACCGCATCGACCTCATCTTCCTCGACACCCTCCACCACTTCCCCGAAACCCTCTCCCTCCTTGACCGCGTCCGCAGACACTACCCCTCCACAAACATCCACGTCTACAAGCCCGCCGACGCCTCCACGCCCGACGACTTCGCCGCCCAATACGGCCCCACCCTCTGGGAATCCAACGACCAGCTCTACGACTGGGTCGCCAAGGTGGAGCCGGCCCAGCGCGCCTATCGCGAGTTGGCCGTGGGCGCTGTCCTGACCGGCCGACGCCGCAGCCAGGGCGGGAAGCGCGGGGACCTGGATATCATCGAGCTCGACGAGGCGGGGCTCATCAAGATCAACCCGCTGGCCAACTGGTCCTTTGCGCAGGTCAAGGAGTACATTGCCGCAAACAGGGTGCCATACAACGAGCTGCTGGACCGGGGGTACAAGAGCGTGGGCGACTGGCATTCCACGCAGCCCGTGAGGGACACGGAGGACGAGAGGGCGGGGAGGTGGAGGGGCCAGCCAAAGACGGAGTGTGGAATCCACAACCCGCGGTCGCGGTATGCGCAGTTCCTGAGGGAGCAGGAGCTCAAGAGGCAGGCGGAGGCCCTCAGCCAGGCGCTTGAGGTGGGGGGCTGCTGAGGGTCTTTTCTTCTTCTTCTTCTTCTTCTTCTTCTTCTTCTTCTTCTTCTTCTTCTTCTTTTTATTGTTATTATTTATTTATTTATTTATTTATTTATTTATTATTCTTTATTATTCTTTATTTGTTTTGCTCTCTTTGGTGGTGCACATTGGAATCAATGTGGAGGAAGGCAAGGATCTGCTTGTCCATATGAACCTATATCCAGAAAACAAATCGAGCTGGTATCTAGATGCAACTTTGCAAATCGGACGCATTACAGATATCTAAATTCCCATTTGATTCCGTCTGCATGCTGAACATGTTTGCCCGCGTGAAACACTGGAAATGATTCAGCCCAATACATATGTAGATGTAGATGCCTCGGGAACAACCTTTCTCCGGACCGGAGAAGGGTAACCAACCAACCGCCAACCCATTTAATCAACCAACCAAACCAACCAGTTAATTAATTAACCAACCTTAACCAATAACCAACCATAGCATCGAGAAACCACCCGTCCACTCCTCGGCTCAGTTGATCTTACGCTAGCGGCCCGTGGGGTATCACGCAATCCGACCACCAACTGACGGCGTTTGCAGCGAGAATGGCGAATCGAGCCTTGGAAAAGGCGCAGTTTCCACCCAGAACCAAAACTAATCGCCGGCTGGAAACAACGGGGCTATATCTCGGTTCCTGTCGTTATATTTTTTCTGTTTTCGTTATCAAACACCCAGCTAACTCACTAGTTATGCAAGTCTGTTTCAGCACATGGCCTCAGTGACTTACTCGTGTGTGTGTAGCGGGTCGCCCTACGCTGCCAGGATTATTCCAGGCAGTCTGGTCTGTCTTGTGGCGAGGATTCCCGCCGAGATTGACGACATGTGCCGGACACACAACACCCCGTTGCCCCCGCTAGACGGTGATGGAGGGGGCAAATGCTGGCGTCGGCGTAACTGCTGCCAAATGCTTGGGAGACCAGGGGGGGATTGTGTGTGCCCCTGTGGGGTAAAAGTGGATCAGGAGGGGGGGGGGGGGGGGTGTTTGGTTAGAAGGGAGATGGGGGGCTGTTCGACCGATTTTTGGGTTCCCTCATTGGGGCCATATATTCGGACTGCCCAGGGATTGTTTGGTCTGCCCGGCTCAAGCGTCACTTCTTGCAGGGAGCAGCACGAACCGCCTGCAAGAACCCGTCGTCATCCCAAGTCTCTCTCTCAGACTTGTTTATTTTTAATAATTATATATATATATATATATATATATATATATGTATGTATGTATGTATATCCTCTCTTCCTTTCGGTTCTCACTATCAACTTAATACATTCGCTGCTAACCCGGCTTCAATTTCAAGTCCAGTGCTCCTGTCGCTCCTCTATTTCGAGCTCAGTGCCTGCGTCTGCGGTTTGTTGAGTCCTCCGGCTGCTATCAATAATAAACATTAATAATATAATAATAATAATAAAAAAAAAAAGAAAGAAAGAAAGAAAACCCCGCTCATGGCCAATAAACCCCATGGCGGCGTCCTCAAGGACCTGATTGCCAGAGATGCGCCGCGGCACGACGAGTTGGAGGCGGAAGCGGAGACTCTGCCCGCCATCGTGCTCACCGAGAGACAGCTCTGCGACTTGGAATTGATCTTGAATGGCGGCTTCAGCCCTCTCGAAGGTATTCTTTGCTGTTATTTCTTCTGACAGAATCACGCTGAGATTGAGTGGGTGTTTTGTATCTTTGCTGTTACTTCTTTTCTGACAGAATCACCTGGAGATTGAGTGGATATTTACGAGAGCGTTGTTGTTGACTCCCACCCACCATCTTTATGTTGTTGCTACAGTGGCTTACAGACGCTTCTTTCCAACAGGTTTCATGGATGAAACGGATTACAATGGGTACATACAAGTCCCATGATGCAGAGAGACTCCCCGTCACACCCGCCGGTGTAAAATGGCATTGCTAATTCGATCTTCTCCCCTTCCCGTCAGCGTCGTCGCCAATACCCGTCTCGCGGACGGCAACGTCTTCAGCATCCCTGTCACGCTCGATGTTTCCGCCAAGGAGATCCAGGATCTGGGGGTGAGCCCCGGAGCCCGCATCACCCTCCGAGATTTCAGGGATGACCGCAATCTGGCCATCCTCACGGTGGACGACGTCTACCGACCAGACAAGTAGGTTGCCATGTGACTCCGCCGCTGGTCCCATATCGAGAGAACGCTGACGGTTGGCTTTTCTGCTACGAACACACAGACAGAAGGAAGCTGAAGAGGTCTTTGGCGGGGACGAAGAGCATCCCGCCGTTAAATACCTCTTCACGAAGGTTCAAGACTTCTACGTTGGAGGAAAGGTCGAAGCTGTAAACAAGCTGGATCACTATGACTATGTCGCCCTTCGATGTGAGCGCACCCCCCCCCCCCAAAACCCCCCGCGACAAAGCAAAATACCCCGGTGGACCAAGACGCTAACATCCGGTGTAGTCACACCCGCTGAGCTACGATCCCATTTTGACAAGCTCGGGTGGTCAAAAGTCGTTGCATTCCAGACCAGGTGGGGCCCTCATTTTGTTCTCCAATCTCCTGGCTGCAGAACGGTTCAGCTCACGCAGAAGAAAACAGAAATCCCATGCATCGAGCCCACCGCGAATTGACCGTTCGAGCTGCCCGTGCCCGCCAAGCGAACGTGCTGATCCACCCAGTCGTCGGCCTCACCAAACCCGGCGACATTGACCACTTCACCCGTGTTCGCGCCTATCAGGCTATTCTATCCAGGTACCCCAACGGAATGGCCGCTCTGGGTCTTCTCCCCCTTGCCATGCGAATGGGCGGTCCCCGCGAAGCGATCTGGCACGCCATCATCCGCAAGAACCACGGAGCCACGCACTTCATCGTCGGACGAGACCACGCGGGCCCAGGGAAGAATTCCAAAGGCGTCGACTTCTACGGCCCGTATGACGCCCAACACGCCGTTGAAAAGTACAAGGACGAGCTTGGCATCGAGGTCGTTGAGTTCCAGCAGGTGACCTACCTGCCAGATACAGACGAATACAGACCCATCGACGAAGTGCCCGAGCACACCAAAACGCTCGACATCAGCGGAACGGACCTGCGAAAGCGCCTGCGCACCGGCGCCAGCATCCCCGAATGGTTCTCCTACCCGGAGGTCGTCAAGGTGCTGCGCGAATCGAACCCACCCCGATCGACGCAGGGCTTCACCATCTTCCTCACTGGCTACCAGAACAGCGGCAAGGACGCCATCGCACGGGCCCTGCAGGTGACTCTGAACCAGCAGGGCGGCCGCTCCGTCTCCCTGCTGCTGGGAGACACAGTGCGGCACGAGCTGTCCTTCGAGCTCGGCTTCTCCCGCGAGGACCGGCACAAGAACATCCAGCGCATCGCCTTCGTCGCCGCGGAGCTTACCAAGTCTGGTGCCGCCGTCATCGCCGCGCCCATCGCGCCGCACGAGCACAGCAGGCAGGTTGCCCGCGACACCATCTCCTCCGTCGGAAGCTTCTTCCTCGTCCACGTCGCCACTTCGCTGGAGTACGCCGAGAAGACTGATAAGAGGGGCATATACGCCAAGGCGAGGCGCGGAGAGATCAAGGGCTTCACGGGCGTGGACGACCCGTACGAGACGCCCAAGTCGGCGGACCTCACTGTCGACGTTGAGAAGCAGACTGTGCGGGCTATTGTCCATGAGATCATTCTTATGCTTGAGAGCCAGGGGTTCTTGGATCGCAGTTAGATGATTGCCATTTGGTTTTGGTTGGGTGGGAATCATGGCCCAATGACGCAAGGCGCTCTGGGGGTTTTATATATTTACTTATTTATATTTTTAAGCGGCTTCCTCTCAAGGGACACTTGCTTTAACGACACATAACGTGGACGGTATGGAGATTCCTAGGATAGATATTTCGGGATGCCTTTCTATATTTTCGTATAATAAATTTGCTGGTTCTTTTTCCTCAGATATAGCTAGATAGGCGAGATGCCCTAATGATTAATACCTTGTCTCAACTTTCACTCTGTGCGTGTCGGAGTCCAGACGAGAGTGTCGTCTTGCAACAGCCGACCAGTGCAGTTCCTATACATAAAATACATCGTAGATGAGAACTTTTGGCTCAGGCTTGAGGGGAGGCCAAATGCAAACAAGACAAACACCCCGAGTCCGCCACTCCGCATTTCGCATCTTTTCTTCTCTGCGACTCCGCAATGCGTTGCACCGCGCGGTTCATATCGTTGCGCCCCAAGCATGTTACCCCCGTATCTCGCCCAACGACGGATGCCACATCTCCTCCGGCCGCTGCAGCCACTGCGGCCACCGGGATGCCACCCCCAACCCCCCAACCCCCGCCTCTTCACCACCAACCGCCCCAAGCTCCTCATCACCTCCCCCACGGCCCGCCACAGACCCCAGCTGCCCTTCCTCCACTCCCCCGCTGCCTCCTGTCCGCGTCCCGCAGCCTCCAGCCGTCTCCTGAATGCCGCTCTTCTCCGTCTGCACATCCCGCGCCTCATCAGCACGGAACGCAGAGCCTACTACCAGAAAATATACAGGGTGCTGCGGTTCGTCCTGAGAGTGTATCTAGCCATAGTGCTCCTCTTCGTGATCCGCATGGGGTTTACACAGCAGAGCTACGAGAGCATATTCCCCACCCCGCCTGAGTGGACGTTCTGGAGCCGCTGGAAACTGCGCAGCGCGCGGGCCGGACAGCACCCGGAGCGGTTCCATAAGCTCCAGACGAGCTGGGCGAGTGTGGGCAGCTTGTACACGGAATTGCTCGCGAGGTTGGAGGATCCGGAGATCGACGGGAAGGGGCTGAAGGAGCTGGCGGAAGGCGGGTTGTTGATTGAGGGCGTCGGGAAGGCCGGGCTGGACATTACGGGCATGAGTGAGGCGTGGACGACAGGATATTTCCAGGCGCTCATGGGCGCTGGGGAGGCGGCGGAGAAACTGGACGGGTGGATGGAGGATAAGAAGCAGCAGATGGTTGGGCCCGCGCAGTGTGTGCTTGGCCCGTCCAACGCGACGCCGCAGCTCCTGCCTGGAACGACGAAGATGTTGAAGGAGGAGGACTGTGTGCCGGCCTATCCAAGCCCTGAGGTGTTCTACATGAAGATTTTAACTACGAAGGGGTTTGGGACGCATCAGAAACTCGATGCGGCGCTGGCTTATGCCGATTGGCTGGATTTCAAGGGGCTGAAGAAGACGGCTGGAGATGTGTATGCGTGGGCGATGGATATCGCCACAGCGGGACTGCCTGGAGGCGTGAACCCGACGCAGGTTGTCGACATGAAGACTGGTGTTCTGAAGGAGCAAGGGAATGAATACGTGACGGATAACCTGTTACGGGCCTCCACGGCCCTGGGGGTCCACCAAGTGCGCCTCGGCAACCTATCCAGAGCATTATCGGTCTTTGTATCGGTTCTGAGAGCTCGTAGGGCTCTTCCCGAAGCTCAGACTCCGGTAGCCACTGCCACTGCCGCCGCCACTGCCCCCGAGCCAAGAATCCACCCTGCAGCATCCAAGGACGAGTCTCTGCTCTCCAACCTCTGGAAATCCATCCTTTCCCTTCTCACGCCCCCAGAATACCCTCTCCGAACACGGACCGGGAACGAACCTGCCACGCGCTCCCTCTCCACGGCCTGCGAAGAGGCCGGCCTGATGGTGTACATCGGCGAGATCATATTCGCCTCCTCATCGCCAGAGCACGGCCTGGCATGGACGCGGGATGCCGTGGACCTGGCTGAAGCCACCATTCTCCAGCTTAATGATGAAGATGGAGTAGAAGGGAATCCTAGCTCCTCTTCCTCCTCCTCCTCCTCCTCTATTTCGTCTGTCGCGGCGCAAAACAGCAGCGGCAACAATAGCCTCTCCATAAACCATTCCGACGCGCATCAGCGCTGCCGCGACTGTGTCAAGGCCGGTCTGCAGAATTGGAAGCAGATGGTGCGGACGTTGGTTGTCAAGGCGGAGAACGAGGAGTTGGAGAGTTTGGACAAGGCTAGCAGGGGTTCTTCGTGGTGGGCGGGGCGGGCTGGTGCTCTTAGGGTGAAGGAGAAGGAGATAACACGGAGGCGGTGGGAGGCTGAGGAGATGATCGTGAAGGACCGTGAGAATGCGTTGAGGTACATTTTGGGGAATCCGGGGTTTTCGGATTATGGGATGTCGGTGATTTTGGGGTGAATGGAATTGGGTGGGGATGGGGGTTTTATGTGTTAAATGTAATGTTGTATTTTGGCGGGGATTCTTGGATAGGGCGTTTCATTCTTTATCCCCCTCTTTTCTTCTCAAATGGGCTTTCATCTGTCCTATTGCTCATACGCTCATCAGAGCAAGGAGGGGGTGGAGAGCGCAATGTGAACATGATTTGGTACGTTCTCAGCATGTCACCTCGACTGTCCTCCCCCCATCTGCCAGATACGTCTCTGTTCTGATACTTAATACTAACCTACCGTTTTAGTTTAAAGCAGGAGAGGCAGATATATGATCTGAGCTTAACATGTAACTAGTTATCCAAAAAGCCACAGGTAGAATTTACCGCACCGGGTTGTTAGGCTGCGTCATTTGCCTGAATAGCTGTTGCTGAACCACTATCTATCCTGAGTCATATACAGCTATATTCACTCACCACGATCAATATATACTCAGCACCCTGGTAACGTATGCACGATCTATCTTCCCCACGCGCTCATTAATTGCTTGGGTCGCTGCTGCGGCTTCTCTGGTCCCTATATTCCTGGCAAATAAGCCAACCAGCTGCCTACACCATCAAGAAGGTTAAACAAGACTGGACAGTGAGCATGGGCAGACCGACCCCGCCCTGGACTGGAACGAGACATGAGAATGATTGATGTGTTGGCGTACACGGAATAATATTTTATTATCTTATTGAGAAGAAGAAAAATATTATCATATCGTTCAAGATCTATCACATTGGTCTGCTGCAGATGAGCAGACTCTTGGCTGCTCTGAAGGAGATTTGAACCTGCGCCCTGAGTTCACGTCTCCTCTCTCTTTTCCCGCAGATCTGGGACATTGGTGATGACCGGATTGATAGTTGGCAAAATGACCATGACCAGGGTAGCTACCTAGCTATGTGTTGCTCCAATTTCATCACAAGTAGGGGACACTTTGTCGCCCTTGTAATAACGCCACATACCGTTCCTTATTTGGTTTAACTATCTGACTCGCTGCCTTTTTGCCCGGGGGTGGATGTAATCCGCCGTCATCGAGGTTCCCGGGCAAATATACCAGACCTCCCTACGCCACCGCCGGAATCTTTTCCCTGAAGAGCCTGAGCAACCACACGGACCTCCTGGGCTGATCTGGACTATTATTTAGGCTTTTTGATCCCTCAGCCACTTAGGTTGAACAATTTTATCGGGCTTTGCTTCTGCAGCAGTTCAACGAAAAGCGCTACATAGTTTCTTGACGCTTGATCGGCAGAGTTGGAGAAGTCTTGATTCTGCTGGGTATGTAACGTAGTTACCACGTCCCACAGGCCAGCCACCCAACACCTGTAGCCAGGTCGTTTTGCATGTTTCTTACAATTCAAAAGTGGGCTTCAATTTCCATGTTGACATCACAATCAGCAGCATACGATGGATATCAACGTTGTGTGGAGTTATACAATACTAACCTTCAGGGGGCTGTGGGCGCTCCCTACGGGCCATCGCTGTGACGGCTTCCAAGTGGGGCCGCTGAGCTTAACTAAAATAAGACTTGACCCTTGCCCGGGTCTAGCTAAAGTGTTCCCGAGGTTAACATTAAGCTGGAACGACGACTTCACCTGTTGGCATTATCTGGCTCGGTTCTCTGTCTACGGCCCTCTTCAAGCGAAACATGGCGAGGGAGGTAGGTATGCACTGTGTATGTTGTCCACGGGTCCACCAGCGCTCCCAAATAGTCGAGAGGGGGCGCAGAAAGGAGAAACGAAGCCCTGCCACGCCATGCAGTACACCCCCTGAGCCAGGCCACAGTCCATCTCTTGGGACAAAATGTCATATTTCAAATACGACTGTTGCTGATCTTGATAGAAAACTGTACGCGTGGTAGCAAAAGACAGAGCTTATGTTTGAAAGCCTTGGAAGTTAGCTGTAACACTTTTAATGAGCTCTTTTAACATAGTGTATCATTTTGGGAAAATAATTGGGAATAAAAAAAGAAAAAGAAAAAAGAAAAAAGAAAAAGAAAAAGAAAAAAGAAAAAGAAAAAAGGAAAAAAAAAAAAAAAAAAAAAAAAAAAAAAAAAAAAAAACCGACGCCCATGGCCAGTTCGCATAGAAGTGACGTAAAACCACAGAGAAATGAAGACTGCAAACAACAATTCTGGGAAAGGGAGAAAGGTACATTACATATGCGACAGCCGTGGATAGCAAAAGTAAAACTCCATCCTGATGCTTGCCCGCCGTTTACAATCAATACCTGCCAATCACCGTAGTGACAGGCCCCGTGTACGTCTTCTTGCCCTGCACACAATACATTACAAGGCTAAGTGCGACCACGCAGGTAAATATAACAATGCTCCAGTTGAAATTGTTCACAGTGACATGCCTGTCAGCAGGCCAGAACGACCAGAAGAGCGCAAACACAACATAAGCTAGGCCAGCGGCATTGATAATCGGGCCAAAGACGGGGCCTAAACTCCAGCGTGCATGGGGCAGCAACTCCGGGCATGTAAGGCGGCGATAGAGTACACAACTGATTGAGACAACGTACGTAGCCATGAGAGCAGCGACGTTGAGAGAGATGATGGCGTGAAATGCGGCGCTAGATCCAAGGTTAATGAGCGAGAGAAGAGCGCTCATTAGGCAGGAAACCAATATGGCGTTTGCCGGTATGTGTTTCGTTGGATGGACAGCGGAAAGCCATCTGGAAAAGGGGAGGCCTTTGTCTCGTGCGAAGGAGAACGTTTGGCGGGCGGCGGAGGCATTGAAGGAGATATTGCTTGCGATTACTAGGATGAGAATAACGCTCGTGAGTGCGTTTAGCCCACTCGTTGACACTGCGTTGCGAAATACATAGATGAATGGGAACGTTGAAGGGTCCTTCAGCGCGTCGTCAACGGATGGGATGGAGAAGATATAGGTGACGATGAATATGACGGCGAGTATTCCGTTCGTGATGTACCCCCAGGCAATCGCGTTTGGTACGTTTCTCCCCGCATCTTTGACTTCTTCCGCCATATGGGCGGTTGCATCAACGCCTTGTGTACCGTTTAGCTCATTTTGCTTATTTTGGAGGAATAATCTAAACACTGGGAGAAGGGGGGGGGAAAGGGAAAACGTACTCAAACTTCCGTATATAGCTGAAAGCTGCCCGATCAGAACGCTTACTCCAATACTTGGCCAGCCTCCGCCGTTTTTAAATTCTGTGAACACGGCTTTAGCGGTTTGGTGGGGAGCCATAACCCACAGAACGACCACGACTGCCAGAAAGCCGAAGACGTGGATGACAAGTAGAAGATTCTGTATCATGGGCAGGCCCTGGGCCATCCATATATTGAAAACATAGATCAGGGCCACCATGGCAAATACAAGAAGGGTGCCCCTCCAAGCGGTAGATTCATAGTTTGGTCTGTTGACGGTGAGCAGTCCTTGGATAATGTTACCTGTCAGAAAGGAGCCAGATGCCGCACCGGCTTGCCATGCCAAAACAGACAACCATCCTGTCGCCAATACTGGATTAGCATCATATATCACAGTCTGTTGAGTCGATACCTTGACCACGCATCTTAACTGACCAGTGACGTAGCTCAAGAACTTCTGATGATTTTCTGACGCAAACTCCGAGACCCAATGATATTGTCCTCCAGAAATTGGGGCCCTTGATCGAAGAAGAAACGAAAAAAAAGAAATTAGTGGCGCATCCCTTTGTGAAACGAAAACCGAAAAAAAGTATATTTTCTGGGGCGAAGGGAATGGGTAAAAGTATTTACATGGAAGCCATTTCTGCAAGAGAGAATATCACGAAACCAAACCCAATGAAGGTCCAGAGATAGGACCAGAATAATCCGGCAAGGCCGCCATTTTTAAGGCCCTCGGTATTAGAACTTGACAAATTCACGTCAGTCAGCTCAATCCATATTGCGCATTCCTGTGTCACAACGAACAAGATGGTGGCCATGGGACTTACATCAACATAAACTCCCACGTAGCCTGTAGGATAAGCGCAAAACTGAGGGCAGAAAGCGGACGGTAGCTTCTCTACTCCTCCCCACAATGTCAGTTTAGGACGCCAAATATCTGGTAATGACATTTTTGTGATGGGACTGACGATCAACTCCTGCCGCTTGCCCATGCGACTCATGTCCTTTCGGTCATTTTTGGTATGTCCCCGTATTATGCCATTGCCGTCAGTATCATCAATGGCCTCCTCGATACCATCCACACTATACCGACCCGGAGCTTCGTGCACAGATTGCCTGGGCGAGCCTTTTGGGGGAGACTGGTGAGCCACTCCATCTGGGGCAGCGTCCATTGTCGTTAAGAGTGGATTGCGGAGGGAGTAGTCAGGTGTTTCCGGTTCCACATGAGAAATGCGTTTCAGGAAGAATTGCAGGGAAGGCATATATAGTGACCAAACGGCCACCGGGTAGAAATAAGCCACGCCTGGAAAAGGAGGGGTGGGGGAGGTTCGTGATGAGGGGTTAAACCTCGCGCTGCCAACGTGAATTAGCGCAAAGGAATGAAACGGCATAGCATATATGAGTGAGTGAGTGAGTAAGTAAGTGAATGTATGAATGAATGAATGAATGAATGAATGAATGAAGCGAGGTATTGCGAGAAATGTAAGGTATCCTGGGAAAGGGGTGAAAGCCCCGAATAGGAAAATGTGCGATGCAAGCAGCACGACGATGTGCGACTCCGGGCCACGAGGGAGAACGACGGCTCCCAAGGGGCCTTCTCGACCCCGTAGAGCGTGACAACCGTCAAACGCCCGCGAGCAACAGGGACGATATCCAAATGTGCGCAGAAAAGGAAGAGCAATAGACGCATACAGTACGGGATACGTGTATCCGCTGACTCCGGGAACACAGTAGCTAGCTAGCTCACTAAGGGGGTGGCTTTCGACACGCTCTGTAGTGCCGGGTTTCGGGTTATTGTATGCAGATCACAGCGGGGTTAACGATATCAGGGGCTTGCAGGCCCGGAACTGCACTTGGGAATCTAAGCAGCATTGACTGCTGTGCGGATGCGCATGTTGAAGCTGTTGCTGGTTGTGAACTATCTTTCTGCAATACATTCGGGGAGGGTTGAGAGAGTTTCTCGAGTCAAGCAGTCTCTTGGAGGGCCAAACAACACCCGGAACAGCAATGTATGTATGTATGCATGCATGTAATTGCTTTTTGTCTTGTGCTCCGATCTTGACCCCGCAAGCCACGAATCAGTGCATCCATCCATGATGTCTCGAAGGCAGAGGGACAGGCTCGCACGGTGAGAGGACGTGCGGAGAAGAGAAGACGGCCCATCCGAAGCAATCCACGATAATAAAGATGCACCGGACTAGAAAAAACAGGGAAGCATCATGACGTTGTTCTGCAACCCTCCGAACCCGAATTCCAGAGAGTTCGTGAGATGAGGCCTACGCAGGCTGAAAGTCGGCTTGCCACTGGGAGGCATCCTTGTGGGAACTGACAGAAATTGAGTGCAGTTGACGGGGCTATCATCACGCGTTTATAGCCTCAGTTAACGAACTAGGGGGGGGGGAGGACATTTGAAATGTTCGACAAACCCCCTTTATTAATTCGCGGTGACATTCTACATCTGAGGCGCCGGATCCCACCAGATTCCAACTCTACTCTGTCCGAGTCGTCGCGACCAGGCCGTTAGGCAGAAACTAGACATGGGTGGGCGATCAGGGTCAACTTAACCTGTGATAACATTGAAGGGACGGGCTTGATTGGCACCGCAAGTGAAAATGCCCCCAAGAGCTTGCTGGCCCGGGCAGTGAAAATCTGCAGCCGGGTTTGGTTAACCAGCGGACTTTGTGGCATCCGCTGCATCCTCTTCTCTCCAATAGAAGCGCATGGGGCAGAGGACGAAGCCATCCCGACCGCCAACCACTCGCAAATGAGCAATAAACCTGCTGGAGATTCGTAGCTACACGAAGAGAGGTGTGTGCACCATATGGGTCTGGATAGTTATTCAATTGTCGTCGTAGCGGGCGTCGGAATCCAAAAGTCAGAAAATCAAGCATCAAGCATCATCAATAATAACAGAGACACTTCGCTCATCGCAGCCTCTATTTTGAGCATCTGATGATCGAGATCAGTCTAAACTGCGTTATCGCAGGGCAGACGAAGATCGGCCGACGCTGTGCGCTGTATCACTCGCGCATCCGTCGTCCATTCGCCAGCCAACTGCCAAATGAGGTGTCTCTTTTGCCGAAGGTTGCCTCCTCGAGGTTCCACGAATGCAACGATCATCCGAGATGCTGTCCATTACAGCCTCATCGCAACATCATCACAAGGCTGCAGCTGAGCATCCATTGGCTGCGGGACTCTTTTTTGGTCCCGAATGAAAGGCAGACTCTCTCCCGACGACTCCGTGGGGTGTGTGCTTGATGCAATAAATAGAATATCTTGTTGACGGTACGCCCAACGCCTGCTGCTATGTCTAGGTTCCCAGGTACTTCCTATTATATTGTCCTACCACTATCCGGAGGCTTCTTTTGGCTATCCAAACGAAGCGCATCATGGATGTACGGTCGTTTCTTCCGAAGACCCGTGAATCGGCCACCTCTGCTATAAACCAAGATGGCTTTTGTTTTACTTCCTTCGCATTGATATTTCCATTCATATATTTCAGAGTGAAGCTCGTGTTCTTGCCTTTTTTTAATTCTGCTCAAACAAACCCTATGTCTGCATGGCGACAAGCATATTGAGGCCTTTGCCGCCAGGGGTTTCGGAACCGTTGGCGGCAGACACTTACAACGATCGTGGTGGATTCATAGCAATAATCACAGCTCTGTGTCTGGGATTTGCGCTCGTTTCCTTGGGGATCCGTGCATATGTGCAGTATTCCAGGCATGTAGTGAGGAAGGATGATTATGTTCTTCTAGCGGCGACGGTGAGATCCCCTTGGCGACATTATACGAGCCCTCGCAAGCAAAAAGAATACATAGCGCTCAGCTAACATAGTCTCAGATCCTATTCTGCACCCAATCATCCGTCGTTTTCCTCCAGATAGCTTACGGATGGGGAAAGTCGGAAGAGCTTCTGAGGGGACAGAATCAAATACCTTTGCTGAAGGTATGCGTGCATCTCTGAAATGTACCATCTCAATGAAAAAGCATGACTGAAGGAGATTCGATATAGGCCACTTATGCAGCGGATATGTTATTTATCCTCACTCATTGCGTCTCAAAAAGCTCTGCTGCGATGTTTTACTTACGGATATCACCGAGTCGGAACCATCTCTTTGTAGTATGGGGCCTAGTCTGCTCGTCGGTCATTTGGGCAGTGATATCCATGCTTTCAATAGCCTTGGGTTGCGACCATACTCGGCCATGGACGGATGTTGGATCGGAATGTCGCTCGATGGTAAGCTATGTCATCGAGTTATTCAGGGGGTATGGTAACTAACTGCTTCGACTACACACACAGTTTCCTCGTTGGCAGTTTATAGGGGCGTTTGATATAATCACCGAATTCGGTTTGGCAATTGTATCTTTCTTCCTTGTGGCTGGCGTCCAGATGCCGATGATACGGAAAGCAGTTGTTGTGCTGGCGTTTAGCTCCCGTCTGCTGTAAGTCGCGCTGGAATTTCAATCTGCTGACGTTGGATATAAAAGTCTCCAAGACGCATCCCAATCCCTAGAGCCCTACATACCTTCATTCTAATCTAAACTAGGGTCGCATTCCCGGCATCCTTCCACCTGCACTACGTAGAGAAAATGCTCGACTCTCCAGATCATACGCTGGTAGGCGCCTACGTCACAATTTGCCTGCAGCTGGAATTAAGTTATGGAATCATGGCAAATACTGTTCCCTGTCTAAAGCCCTTCATGGCCGCATACGAAGACACGGGCAAACCCTCTTACAGGGCCCGTAGCAATAGCGGGAACAGCAAAAGCAAAAGCAGAAGCAGCCGCAAGCGCAAATCAAGTCGCGACATTTACACTCTCTCGACGATCTCATCATCCGTAAAATTTCCCAAGTTCAAAAACCCATGGGCGAGTAATTCAAATACAATGCATCTCAGCTCCCAACCGCCATCCTCACCTCTCCCCAGGGCCCCTCCGAGGGCCAAGCAGCCATTAGGAGCCGGTGAGATCAGCTACACCGCAACGGTTCGCCACAGCAGTCAGGGACGGGGTGATCCCAGTTTGGAGAGCGATGACAGCAATCGATTGATTATTAAAAAGGATGTCAATTGGAATGTTGAATGTTCGAAGTCCGGAGAGCGGGAGACAGAGCCTGCCCCCACTAATCATCAGTCGGGGAGAGCTAGTTCTGGTAACTAGTGATTCATCCCCATGTTCTCCTCCATGTTGCTGGTTACGTGGTTTACCTGTTTCTCCTCGTCACTGTTATTGGGCAGATCCTGAAATTTGGCTGTGCTGGTACATACATACCTCTAACGAATGGAAGAGTCATGCAAAAGATATGATCTTGTTGGGAAATTTTATACAGCGTAATAGTTTTAGGGAACGGGAATGTAAGGTAATTGTCTCCTGGCGTCCATTGTGGTTTCTTGTAATTTCTTCTCCAGCCTAATTTATATCTGATAGGACAGGGCCTGAAAACATCAACTACTTTTTCCTCATCTCAAGAAGTTAAATGTTTAATCTATCTCCCATTCAAGTGTCGGCTCCATCTCTTCCTAAGAACAGGCGGCTGTTCACGTCACATACTGGCTTTGCGGGAAGATAGTATTCTCCAATAACTAGTGCAACACGGATGTCAAGAAATTTTCCCGTTATGCGCCACCTGAAGTTTAGTCCGGAGAACAATTCTGATCTCCCCATATTAACAGAATTTATTAATCCTTTTTTAGATCCTAAGGGGCTCCGGGGCATTTTCTCCTATTACCACCATCCGGATAACCATGAAAAACGGTAGCACGCTGGAATCCGTCCCCACTTCTCTTTCACACATCGCAACGACATTGACAGTGCACACCTATCTACCATTCATTTTCCCTTTGAAATCCAAACCCAAGCCGTAAGAATTTCGATGACTGGCCTATATCATTTCTTGTACAGAGTATGCGTTTTAGAGCCAAGAAACACGAGCAGAGTATTTGAGTTGTCGGAAGACGACAGCGGCAAATGCTAACTCTAATAAGCTGTGATCTGGATAGATAACTATATCCCAAGGCGCTTTTACAACTGTGGTTTACCGTGTTGCATGTGTATATGCATAGAGTCATGCTGCCCTAGCAGCTGCTATCGGTTAATTGGAAGAAAGAATCCGAATTATTTGGAGCATTGTTGTTTGGGGAGTGGCTATGAGGGAAGAAGAGGCGTGAAGGTATGTCTCATTATTCTATTAATATCGCCATGCATGCATGCATTAAAGCAAGCTGCACGGGCATAGAAATACTACAAAAAAAGGGTTGCGCAATTCCAGTGTCTGAAATAAAAAAAAATAAAATGTTGACAGGAACTACGGAGTATATTCCTCACACTTGCAGCTCTCAGCACACTTCTTTCTATCAAGTCCCAAACAGTGGGCCCCCTCCCCCCGAGGCTCT